CCTCACTTTCTCCTTAAAAATTAGCATGAACAGCATTATGGCCACACACTTCAACATCCACAGCCTTAGATATATAGCCAAAGTATCTTAACTTTAGCGTCCGCAAACACTTTTCTTGCTAACCCCCCGAAGTTGGCATTAAGCAAAAGCCTGGTAAAAGGCTTAGCTGCAGACTCAAAGATACTTAGTAACAAGGAATTCGAGGTAAATAATTTTTTACTTTTTTAATTTTTAGCTACATATGGGTATCTTTGTTAATTTCTATAGCGTACAAACCTAGTGGAAGTATCGCAGAACCTTCGTCAGCTCTTCACCATGAGAAAACTATCTGAAAACATTCTTCAGCGTCATATCGGTTTTGTCGTCGCTGTTTATCTTTACAGGATTCTTCTGGATGAGACAAAATTCCCGACTTCTTTCATCTAGTCTTTCCCTTCCACTGTATCTTTAGGGTAAAGCAGGAATGAGTGAGTAATCATTTCGTCAGTGGTCATTCTCAGGGGAAGTTACACCTCACTTAGGCAGTGTTAATCTGCTTGCTGGCCAAAATTTCTGAGGCTTTTCCACTTCCAGATGCCTCTAGATTTGTCTTTTTATTTAACAATTGCGCCACTGTCTTACACACTGACTGATACATGGTTGGTCTGGTTTTACCACTTAATATGTGCAATCAAAATTTATTTTCGTTCTTTTGGAAACTCCACAAGTGTAACTAGAACTGTATAGGCAGAATAAGGCGCAGCAGACGTTAATCAAGCATATACCTATTCAAGCACAGGCCGGGATTTTCGCCAGTCCACAGCATTTAGGGTGGTTTCTTGATTACGGTCTGTTTCTACTTTCCAGCTATACCGCCTCACTGGCTCATATATGTGAAAAGGCATTTACACATAGTTTTTGGCAATGTTATCTTCGTAAGTGGTTTGACATTTACTACCATAAATCAGATGTTTGAGAATACCTATATGCTTTATTTGACACATGTTATTTGGTTTCAGAGAACGTCTAATACTGGGCAACAGTAGAAGGCCCCCCTATTCTTCGTTTCTTGGTGTATTTTTAGCCTAGATAATATGGCTGAGACGCCCGTCAGTTGCAAGGCGGCGGAAATGATATTTGAAGGCAGTTTGTAATCAAGTGGTCCCCGCATTTATTCATTGTCCTACTATTTGGTTTCTTTAAATACGATTCCAACAAGACGCTTTCCTTGTGCCCTGAAAAATGAGAGCTAAGGACTTTTGCAGGCTCCAAACAGTCTAGAGTTTCTTAAGCCTTGCACAGATATGCACAAAATATAAGTATCCAGTCAATGCCATTTTGCTCATTGAACTTAGAAGCAATACACGGGTTGTGGAAACGGTCCTAATAATCTTCACACAGTTTCTCAACTACCAATCTGGAGTTTACTTATATGTTTTTTAAGCCATTCTGTCAGACCAAAATCACACTGTGCCAGTTCGTGGTCGAAGTGACTCAGAGAAATAGTAGATAATTCTCTAGGACGCTGGTCTGTGAATATAACATATCTCGAGACATGTTCACGTGAAATATTACTTCGTCTACTACGTTTCATTTCTTCAGGGAGGTCAGTTTATTTTACACTTTAATTGGACTCTCGTGGTTTATCATATATGTCCAGAACTTCACATCATCAGAAAAGAGAACTACTGGATGATATGAATGTTTCAGAAAGTCGTTGACAAAGCCTAACTTTATAGAGAGCAAACAAGAAAATGATCGAACACAATGGTGAATTTCGTTTTTTACAAGCACTCTGTCTTACTTCAAAATCTTCTTGCAAAATTCAATTCATAGATTGTTCTTGTATACCCTAGAGACTGTTTTTGGCTTAAGCGCTATTTTTATTCTCTAGGTCATTGGGGTATGAGTGTTGGTATACCAAAACTTTCAGAAACTCCTAAAGTTAATGATTTATGTGACTTTTGTCCCACACTTAATCTATATCTAAAGCCTATTGCACGGGTTGCTATAACTGTTCAGATCCCTTTGCTTCACGATACATCTGGTCAGTTGAAATCTTTTACAACATGGGAAATCATCGAGAAAATTCGACAACTTTGCCCTGGAATACTCTCTCCCTCGACTGTTATGAAAGTAGTTCACACTACTTTGGAATTCGTCAGATTTTCAGTTGATCTGGAATGCAAATCAGACGTCAGGCGCGTTGTGACAAGTTTGGAAAGTCAGGTAACTGTTAACGTTAGCACAGTTTCATATAAACTATATGAATTCAGACCACTGACATAGCAGCCTTATGCGTTATGCTTTTTACCACCAATATTTTGTAGGATTAACATGAAACTTTAATTGTTCGTTTGTTTCATTTATTTGACAAAGTTCTTATTATCACCGATAATATTCTTCATTGAGGTGAGCTGACTGGATTAAGCGTCACACTTTGGGAAGCGAGGAGTCAGGAATACCCTGGACGACCGATAAGAAGTTTCCAGAAGATTTGGATTCTCAAATGGTATATGTTGCATGTCACACACGTGTACACAAACTTGAAGACTTGCAGGCGAAAAGCAACAAGCTGGATGGCAGCGAAAACCGGATTCCAGGTGAACATAGAGAAGACGGAGGTGACAAAGATAACCAACCAATAGCAACAATAACTATGACCAATCACTACCAACGGGAGAGATTTGAAAGACGTCACTTCCTCCATTTGTGTGGGAAGCATGGTTTCAACCACAGGCCGGTGGAACGGATGACGATGTCAAAGCAGGCCAGAATCAGAAAGTCAAGTTACGCCTTCACCAACTTGAAACCAGTTTGGAAATCTTGTGCACTTCGCCTCAGCATAAGGAGCAAGACTCGGATTGTCGACACCAATGTGAAGTCGGTCCTTGTATACGGGTCAAAAACCTGGGTAGAGTATCACAAAAAGGATTTCAAACAGATTGAAAACTTATCAAGAGCTGCCACCTTTACTGGCTCCACACTGAAGATCAGCCAGAAGGATTTAGCAACAGTAAACTCTGGGAACAAACCAACCAAGAGCCGATCGCTCAACAAATATGTAGGAGAAAATTGAGATGGATCAGGCATACACTGAGGGAACCGTCAAATGACATCGCTCGCAATGCAAGTCATTGCTCCAGTGAAATCTAAGTGGGTAGTGACAAGTGGGTCGTCAGTGCGAGGTTGGCATGGAGGATATCGGATGAGGAAGAGATGGAAGAGTTTAGGCAATCGTGAACCCAGTTGAAGAGGATGGCAGAATATAGGACATAGTGGAGATGTGTTGCTGAAGCCCTGTGTTCCACTCGAGACCCAAGGGAACAATACTAATGATATAATATTTTCACAGGTCTTAAAGAAGCGCGTCTACATCAGGGCGAAGTCGTAATATTCAGCTCTTTTCAGGTACAATTCACACTCATATGAGCTATAGACTGAACCCATTCAAAACTATTCCACTCAAAATTAGAACTGCCATTTAAAAGATTTCGAGGGAAACTTCAGTTACTCTTGTTATTATTAATTATATATTTATGTAAACACAAATAAACTTGGTACAATGTGGCACCAAGAAGATGCACCACACAATAGTAGAATATAGAATAAGAGTAAAAATATAGGTGAAGAACAGATGACACACTTCATCTGGAAGGAAAACAACCACATTTAACAAGTTTGAACAGCACTCATCAATTATCGTCGGGAAGGGAAGAAAAGGAAATCGCAGCACTCGCCATCGGTTACATTTCATGTTGAGTGCTGTTGACCTCATCTACACAGACTTGAGAGTGATGAAAGCTTGTCTTGCTTTCCCGATCTTTGCTTTGATATCCTCGTCAGTTCCGCCGGCCTGTAGTTGAAACGATGCTCACCAAGTAGGTAGATAGGTAGGTAGGCAAAGGAGGTTGTTTCTTTCAGGTTCCTCCCATTTATGCTAGCTGATTGTTGTCTGTTGTTATTGGTGTTGGCCAGGAATCTTCGTCACCTCTGTTTTCTCTATGTTCACCTGAAGGAAGTCCTATCTTCTCTGGATGCTACTTCTGCCAACTTGTTGCTTTTCACTTTCATATCTTCCAGTTTGTGGGAAATCAGACATATATCACATCGGCGAAGTCCAGATCCTCCAAGTTTTTCTTGAGGGTACATTTTATCCCTGTTTCCTGATTGCCCGGCTCGCTGTCTGTCGCATTATCCAATCTACTGCAATCAGGAAAATCATTGGCGATAGAAGGCAGCCTTGTCTTACTCCTGTCTTTGCTTCGAAAGATTCTGCAAGTTTCCCGTTGTGGATTACTTGGCATGCAGCGTTTCCGAACAAGTGTTGGATGAGATGTATGATTGTCGGTGGCACCCCGTAGTAGCGAAGTAGTTGCCAAGTGACCTCTCGATCGACGCTGCCGAAGGCCTTTTCAAAGTCGATGAAGTTGAAACAGAGAGGTAACTGCCATGGTTCGTAGTGTGGCGATTTGATCAATACATGACCTGTTTCTGCTGAATGTCGTCTGTTCCGGTAGAAGTTTTTCATCCAGGTTGGCGTGTTTGATTCCCTCCAGGATGATGCGGCTTAGTATATTCCTTGGGATGGACAGGAGCATAATTCCACGCCAGTTCTTGCATTTTCTTAAGTCTCCTTCCTTTGGTAGCTTGAATAAGTAGCCTTTCTTTCAATCCTCGGGTTCTTTGCCCTCTTTCCACACCTTCTCCATTAATGGTGTCATCGAAATAAACAGTACTTCGTTAAAATTATCTTTATTTATAACATATTAATGGATTAGTTGTTTAGTCTTTACATTTAGCAAAGTCATGATGAAATTCTCCTGATTCAACAAAGTTAATGGTGGATTTAAGTAGGTAATAGTTCAAATGTTACCTTTTTCTTAATTTTCTAGGCTAATATAAAATTTCATCACTTTTTGGCATGTGCGCTCATGTTCATTTATTGATTCATGAGCACAAAAAAATACTCACTTTTTCATAAATCCCCCTTAAAAATCTCGTACATTTATTTGTTTCAGTTCATCAAGTTAAGTGGGTTTCCCCAAAATCTTCGTGTTCGTGCAAGCGAAGCTCCATATGACTGTCCAAGACGTCATGATTGGGAAGCATTTTTCCGTGATGCCCAAAACATGGATGAAACAAAATCTGGTGAAAGACCTGATACTCTTGTACTCACTGGTCTTCCTGTCAGATGGTTTTCCAGTGCGTCACATAATAGGCCGCGTTTTAGTGCTAACAGTGATGATACTATTAATAGTTATTTATCCCTTCTCGTGGATGAAGAGAAGCCGAATCCTTCAATTCTTAAAGAGGCATTCGAAGTAAGTACTATATTCTAACTTTCGTGTTTTCCTTGACAATATATATATATATATATATATATATCACCCACTAGTTTGTTGTGTAGTCAAATCTGGTTCTATTGCTGGTGACAAGATGAACAACTGTCGTATTCTGAAAGCCAAGAAGACTTCCAAGTAAGCAAGTAAAGCACAGATACAAAAGGCTCGTTTCACATATGCCAGTTTACGCCATCTCTGACTTAGTAGACGTGATATCCGGTTGGCTATCAACCAAAGGGCCTGTGTACTGCTCAGCAGCTTGCTCTCTCCTCCTTTATGGTTGTGAGCGTGGCATGGTCATTGGAAGTGGAAGACATGAAAAGGCTAGCTATCTTTAATCATAGTAATCTTTATTCTATCTCCCATTTGAAGTGGTATAATAAGGTGATCAATATTGAGGTTAGGTGTTGAATACTAGGTAAGGAGGGGAAAATCAATTGACAAGGTTGTGAAGTTACATCGATTGAGATAGTTAGGATATGTGTTGCTCATGCATGCCCGGCCACCGGTCGCCTTCCTCGACCAACGGGAAATTTTAGCTGATGGACATAGGATGGATCAAGTTGGAAAAGAGTTAGCTAATGTTGGGTGGTCAAACCGAAATGAACATGACTTCATCAGTCAACGGAATCCACAACACTTAGTTTAAGCCAGCCAGTCAACCAGCCACGTAGGGAGATGTAGACTGGCTTCCTGGTTGAGGTCCTCGAAATGGTGAAAACAAATGAAGGCTGGAAACAATTGGTGATATGGCTCAAAATCCTAATTCTCAATGGTTGTCGCAGATGCATCCACTCCTTGTGATTTATAATGTCCAATGAAATTCTATTGTTCTTCCATATTACTATTCTTTTTGCCTCAGATTTATGTTTATTATCTCACTCTCCCCCTTTTGATTCTCTTCTCTTGCTTTGTGTGCTACACAAGAAGGGAATGTGGCAACTCGAACCGCTGCATATCTGTGCTAAGTTCTACGTTGAAACCAGTCATTCAGGCAAATAAGCAAGTAAAACAGTACTTTGCTGGTATATTCAGGTGAATCGCTTTAAGTGCATCGATCGTTTGCAAAGTCATCTTTGTACAAGCTGAATGACTGTCTGTCTGTCTGTTTTCGCCATAGAACTTTGCACCGACGTGCACAAGTTCAAGTCGCCACACTCCCTCCTTCTAAAACACAAAGCAAGAGAACAAAGTAAAAAGAAATGCATAATAGAGACAAACAGAGGTGTGAGACAAAGGAATAGTAATAACGGAGAACAATATAGTTTTATTGGAAATCATAAATCACAAGGAGTGGATGCATCTGCACTAGCCAGCCATTGAGGATGATTTTGAGCCATATCATCAGTTGTTTCCAGCCGTCATTGGTTTTTACCGTTCCGAGGACCCCAACCAGCTAGTCAGGAAGTCTACACCTAACTACATGGCTGGCTGGCCTAAACTAGATGTTGTGGATTTCATTGACTGGTGAGGCCATGTTTTGTTTTGACCGCCACTAACTAGCTCTTTTCCAGCTTGACCCTATGTCAGCTAACATTCCCCGTTTTCGAGGAAGGCGATGACTACGCATTGATGCGTAACACATGTCCCAAGCATCACAGTCGATGTAACTGCTTCACAGCCTCATCGATTGATTCCCCCTCCCACCTACCCAGCACTCGACCGATGCGTAACCCCAATATTGCTCACCTTATTATACCACTTCACACGGGGGATAGAACGCAGGCACCTATGATCGAAGACAGCTATCCAGCCTTTTCATATCTTCCACTCTCAATGGCCAGGTCTCGCTCACAGCTGGCCATAAAGGAGGACGGAGCGAGCTGAATGACTGAATATTTCACAATAACCTATCACACTAAATCATCATTAGTGTATATGCATAGTTCACTGTGATCTGAATTGTTTTCTGTTTTTGTCTTTTTTCTGTTTATCGATTGAACTTCAGTTATAAAATTTAAGCTCCTACTCATTCGTAATCAGTTTTATGTATATTTTTCTTCTTTTTCTTATTCTTCTCTATTAATACATTAAAGGTATTCGGTAAAATCCGAGAGATTGATATACCTATGTTAGATCCTGCTCAAAATCCTGATTGTCTAGAAGATTATATCAATAACAATGATAGTGTCAATGTCGCCTCTTCTTGTTGTTCTTCTTCTACTATTCTACTATCCAAAACTAATAATTATACAGCAAAAAAACCCAATGAATCTCCATTCTGTAATGAATTAAAAAGTATAGAAAAAGAATATGTTGGAGGATTTGGTAAAATATGCCCTGATACAATTGGTATATTAAATCCAACTTTACAGAATAATAATAATAGTAATAATAATACAGTCAACGGATGTTTGATTAATTCAGGCGTTAATTCAAATTCATCTGAACTTTTAAAGGCGAAAAAATTGAATGGATTGCTGAATTCTACTACGACTACTGCTAGTAGTAGCAGTCCACTTACGTTTATAGCTTATGTACAATATATGGATTATACGGGATTTAGTCGTGCTATGGATATGCTACGTGGTCAAAAACTAGTTTATGCTCCAACGTATAAAACTCAATCATTATCGTCGTCATCATCAACAACAGCAGCAGGAGCAGTATCATCTGATCGAAATGATAAATTATATTATGCAGCTGAAATCAAGGTAACACATTTATTTTATTCCTGTACGTTTCCAGTGGAACATAGGGTGGTTGGTTTCAAGCTAGAGGCTTGAATTTTCGGTAGTACGTGTGTTTTTACTTTTACGGGATGGGGTTGCTCATACTGTCATGAGCAACCTACCATCTTTACCAGTCTTATTACTGACTTGGCGTGCGTCCATGGCCAGAGATCGAACCCCGCACGACATGAGGCGTGGTTGGCGAGCATTCTACCGCTGTGTCCCACCGGCGCGCCAAGGTAACGTTATTATTATTATTATTATTGTTCCCTTGGGTTCTTAGTGGAACATAAGGCTTCAACTGCACTTCTCCACTTGTTTCTCTCTTCTGCTGTACTTTTCACTTCCATCCATGTTAGTCCATACTGTTACAACTCCTCTTCACACGATCTCCTTCTTGTCACCCACCCTTGGACGTCCCACTCTCCGCTTCCCTTTTGGGTTCCACTCGAGCAATGGCCTGATGCGCGCGCCATGTCACCCAGCGGCTTTCTTCTCAGCGAGTGTCCAATTCATCTCCACTTTCTCTTGCATATTTGTTGGTTGGCGATTGCTTCTTGTTTTGTTTTCTTTGTTCCCATAATTTCTCATTGGTGATTGTTTCCGGCCCGGCCATCTGATCTTCATTCAGTATAGCGAAGAGCGAAGACAGTTAGTTGTTGAAGGATGAAGGTCTGCAATAGCCAGCCTGTTGGAAATATTCTTTGTGACCCGCTCGCCCGCCAACTTTCTGATCCGATCCGTATAGAAGAACTGACTGACTTGACGTTGTTTGTATTGAAAATCTGACCGATGGAATTTTGTTGTTGATGATGGCTGAGTGACGAAGATTTCCAGATTGATTTCAGGTTGATGAATATGTGTTTCTCGTCTTCCCGATGATTCTCGATTTGACATCCCCGTCCGTTCCGACCGCCTGTAGTTGAGACTGCTCCGTAGATAAGTGAATGAAGTCACTAACCTCTTTCAGATTCCTCCCGTTGATGGTGATTGGCGTTGGATGTTGCTGCTGCTGTTGGTGGTTGGTTGGTTGGTTATTTTCATAACCTCCGTCTTGTCTGTGTTCACCTGGAGTCCGCAAGGTAACGTAATTCTTCTTAAAAACAAGTAACTAAACATTTACATAAATTAAAGTAAAACGTGGTGTGTAACATGACAGTGAATTTGAAGGTTTGACAAATGAAGATTTTCAGATTATGGGCTATGTTTTGTAGGGTTTCCTAATTGACTTCAGTGTCGATTTCGTCGGTTAGAGATGATAAAAAAGGTGCACTAGATTGGTCGTTTCGTCTTGGTTTAGGGCCCCTCAGCATTGTGCACCCACTCTACTCCTCCAACAGGGGTTGAATCTAGTACCTTCAGGTTACAAAGAGAAGTTAGAATTCACTGGTCATTGAGTATCCAGTCCAAATGGTTGGCTGAATCATCACCGAGTTTAGTCTCGTAACCTGAAGGTCCTAGGTTCAACTCCTGGTGGTGGGTCTTAGTGTGTACACTGCTGAATATTCCCAAAGTAGAACGAAATAGCTGTTCAATGCCCCACTGGTTTTCGAAAATCTCTAACTGATTTTAGTTTGTGATGAAATTTACACTGAAGAATTGTATTTCTCTCAATTCACTTATGTATTACAGCAAATATAATAAAACAAGAATGTCATAAAACTTATGTTTCGTCAGATGACTGTTTCATTTCTTCATGTAATAGGTTTCAGTTGTACAATATTAAACAAATTTTCATGGAACTGCTGTATTCCATTTTTATGTGATACTTAGAACATAGGACCTCATGTCAAAAAGCTGAAAAATAGGAAGAACATCGTCATTCTACCAGCCGACAAAGGAAGAACAACAGTAATCATGGACAGAGAAGAATACATCAAAAAAGCTGAAGAACCAGTCAAAGACGAGGATGTATATCGACAACTCCCAACAAATCCCATACAAACGATGGACCACTGCATCCATAGGACCTTAAACAAGCTCACCAAAACTGGACAGATCACAAAACAAGACCAATGGCGAATGAAATCCAATGGACCAGTCCTACCCCGATTCTACGGCAGACCCAAAATACACAAGCCAAATATCCCGTTGCGACCAATTGTATCACTCCCAGGAACTCCAACATATAATTTATCCAACGAATTATACAGAAAACTAAAACACCTCACGGAATCTTGTGATCACTCCATCAAGTCTGCTATCCAATTCCTAGAGAAATTCAGAGGCATCCAAATAGATGAACAAGAAATAATGATATCACAGCATACCTCAATCAGACAAAAACTAGCAGAAGAAACCATGGAGAAATTACTTATCAACGACTAACACCTTCCACAACAATCAAAAATGCAACACACAAGCTGGATGGAATGCATAAACATATGCCTAACTACATACTTCCAATTCAACGGCCAGATATATGAACAGATCAAAGGAACACCCATGGGATCGCCAATATCAGGTTTGATTGCAGAAGCAGTGATGCAAAGGCTCGAAAACATAATTCTACCAAAGATCAAACCCAAGATTTGGATACGTTACGTCGACGACACATTTGTAATAATCAAAAGAAACGAATTAGATAAAACTCACAGCTTAATAAACAACATCTTCAACGACATCAAATTCACAAGAGAAGAGGAATCCGAGAACAAAATCCCATTTTTGAACGTCTTAATCAAGTGGACAACCACAGGGGAATTAGAAACTCAAGTTTATAGAAAATCAGCTCTCAAGAACATAGGACCTCATGAAATTATATCGATTGAAGTCTTTGGATATCTAAACACTGCTGTGGGAGGTGAGAGAAATCATCAATGTTAAACTAATTTTAAACTATAAAATAAAGAGTAAACTAGCGTGGACTTTTAGGTAAATCAGAATTTAAAAGATAACGTTTTACATGTATATCATCACTTTCATAGATTGGGAATCAGATCGTTAGAACTATCCGACCATCGTGAAGAAGGAGGTGCCTTTCAGACAACTATTTTTTTTTCTAAATGTTAAAATGTAGAAAGTCACTTGGCGTACATAAAGTGTAGCCTACTCAGTTTAATCACTTCATCGTCGCCTGTCCCCCATTGAATAACGTGCTTTCTTTCTCCAACAGCCTACATCTAACTTTAAAATTCTCTGCACAATAAGTACTCCTCTTCCTTTTTTACATAGTTAGACATCTTATGGATGAACTTTTCCCCTGAATTTTTGTTGAAAACCTACTTACTAGGACTAGTGCCACAAAAATAAATCAATTAACAACACATCTCTAACCCTTTCATGGGCTAGAATTCACAGCTTCTATTTACCAGTGTGTCGGCCTATAATTTGGGACTCAGTGATTCATCTTATATTTTTGTATACCAGGTAGGAAATTATTTCCATTCCTTTTATCTTCCACTAGATTGCGTAGTTAAGAGGTGTAGGCTACTTTAATACATAATGCGGAAATGAAGTGTGGTGTTGTAGTATCGCGGTTGAATTATTGAAGTAATTTAGGTTTTTCGGGTTACTGATATACAGAAATGATTGCGGGTAGTTTGCTTTTAATAAACGGGAAATAATAATAAATACAACGGGAAACTTACGGAATCCTACGAAGTGAAGATGAGAGTAAGACAAGCTGGCTGGCTGCCTACTATCGCCAATGATTTTCCTGATTGCAGTAGATTGGATAATGCGACAGACAGCGAGCCGGGCAATCAGGAAACAGGGATAAAATGTGCCCTCAAGAAAAACTTGGAGGATCTGGACTTCGCCGATGTGATATATGTCTGATTTCCCACAAACTGGAAGATATGCAAGTGAAAAGCAACAAGTTGGCAGAAGTAGCATCCAGAGAAGATAGGACTTCCTTCAGGTGAACATAGAGAAAACAGAGGTGACGAAAATTCCTGGCCAACACCAAAGCCTCAGGATGGTCGGGGGTGGGTGCCTTGCGCTGCGGGTTGGCCACCCCTCCATACACCTCTTGAAATGCTCCCATATGACCGGGCGTCTTACATAGCCTCTCCTGAGGAAGTCCTACTCACTGCCTTCACGTGGCGGAGGTGTTTCTCACCAAAGTGAGAGGGCGAAAGCGGATGCCCGGCGCTCTCCACCGGGTTGACTGTCGATTGGATGACAGTCTAAGGGAGATGGCTAAATCCTGATTCCAAACCTCCAACGATTGGCGTATGAAGCTCACTGGAGCTCACCGGCAGACGTATGGACAAAGGGCTTGTTGGATGTCCTGGATGTCTGGCCCCATTCAGAAAGGCGTATGAACCGAACTCCGGTCATCGGCTGCCAATGGATAGTGGACTCCTTACTCCACTCCTACTGCCTTGTAGGTCACACTTGGTTGTGTAAAGGCTAGAGCTGCACTCTCAAACAAAAGGCCGAGCGATTCTGGGGACATCACTCGTACCAAATTCCCATGAAACTTCATGAACTCTCTTACAAATTGCCGCGCCTGGGCAGCGATGATTCGAGACGTTCATGAAGCCGGCTCATCCTCCCGTAGGAGATAGCTGAAGTAAAGTAAGTAAGTAACACCAACAGCAATAACAACAGACAACAATCAGCCAGCATGAATGGGAGGAACCTGAAAGAAACAACCTCTTTTACCTACCTACCTAATTGGTGAACATCGTTTCAACTACAGTGTACTCACAATGTTGTACAGCGGTGATCTATTGAGCAAATACTTCCGTCGAATAATAATAATAATACGAAGAATAACTCCATCTCAAAGTTGGATTTAATTACTCCCTTCTTTTTGATATTTTTCCTCACGATTATTCTCATTGTTTTCAATAGAATACTATTTTAATGACAATTGTAGATTGATTACTGCCTGACTCCACACAGTATTTTGGTACAAGTATGGAATTTTCAGCTTATGATATCGGTAGCCCGAATTTAGCAGGCTAACCATTGATATAAGGTGTGAGTAGGCCGGGGTTCAATCCCCTGTCGACGCACACCTGATATTTATGGTTGGCCTGCGAAATTTGGGCTACCGATATCACATGCTGAAAATACCGTACCTGTACCAAAAAATACGGTGTGGAATCAAGCTGTAATCGAAAATTAAAAAAATAAAGTATAAAAAATAAACCATATACTTTAGACTTTTAGTGTGACGACATTTTGTGTAATCTAAGTTGTACAAAGTGCATGTGTAAAACAACTTATCTTGTTATTTATTATAAAATACATCGCTTGGTATTAGATGAATTAGACAAACTTCGAATTAACGGTGACTAAAAGTATGCATGTGTGTGTGTGTGTGTGCATCGGTAGAATGATCACCCGCCACAAGAGAGAGAGAGAGAGAGCCAAATCTCGGTTCGATCCCCGGCTGACATATTCATAAAAGCTTCGCCCAGTTTACTAACTGATGGTAAGCTTGGGTCGGTATTGGGGTTGCTATGTCGTGAATTGGCAGAAGTTAAAATTCATGGACTGACAATTCGATTGGGTCCCAGTGGCTTAATGGTCTACGAGCTCGCTGGCCTTGTAACCGGAAAGTCCTGGGTCCGAACCCCCTGTGGTGAGTGCGTACTGTGCTGAAGAGTTCCAAACTAGGTCGACGAAACAGCTGTCCAGTACTCCCTGCAGGTTTTCCAATGGTTCACTAACTAGTGTCAGTTCATGATGAAATCCTGTCTTAAATTAGAATAACAAAAGGATAGGTGAGCATAATAATAAAGCACAAAAAGGCCTGTAGATTTGTATTTTCTGCTTTTTTTTTCATCGGTGATTTAACAGATTCCCTCTATTGCATTATTGTTTGAATGTGTTTAAATCTTATAAAGGAGAAACATCCACATATATGTTATGTCGCAGGTCTTATCAATCAGCAGTTTATTCATCCAGTACACGATGTGTACACTAGACTATGTGCATATTTAAGTAGTCAGATTGTAATTATTACTATTATTTCCTTTAATTCCTAGAGGGGTATAGGGCTTCAACCAAACGTCTCCATTGCGTTCGGTTTTCTGCCAGCGTTTTCATCCCTCTGAAAGTCTGCCCACAGGCTTTCATCTCCTCTTCACATCACCTCCTCCAGGTCACCCCACCCTCGCGCTGACGACCAACTCGTCGCTTCCCTTTCGGGTTCCACTCCAGCAATGGCTTGTCTAGTGATATCACTTGATGGTTAGCTTTCTCAGAGTATGGCCAGACAATTCACCTCCATTTCTTCCTGCTTATTTGTTGCATAGTTGGTTCCTTTTGGGTTGGTTCGCTCATTGTCAGAGATCCGTATTGCTGATCTTTTCTGGCCAGCCATCTGATCTTGAGTATTGAGCGAAGACAGCTGGCTGTTGATGAAGGTGTGTAGTTTGTTTGAGTTGCTCTTTATGACATGCTGGCCAAGTCGCTGATCTGTATAGTGAGTAGCAATGACTGACTTCACATTGGAGTTGAAAATCCGGATCTTATTTTCATTTTCAAGCTGACTAGTGCTGTTGACCTCCACACCGACTTGAGATAAATGAAAGCTTGTCTTGTTTTCTCGATCCTTGCTTTGATATCCTCATCAGTTCCGTCCGACTGTAGTTGAAACAATGCTTCCCAGGTAGGTAGGTAAAGGAGGTCGTTTCTTTCAGGTTCCTCCCGTTTATGCTGGTTGTAATGGTTCAGCTGAATCGGTCAATGCACATATTATTATTATTATTATTGTTATTATTAAAATATAAACTTAGAACACTATGGACACCAAGAATTGTACCACACAAAAATCTCGTAGTTTGTGCGAGGGTGTTGGCATACTGCTCGGACGCCCAGACCTCTTAGTGTGATTGATTGTCTTAAGGCATCAACCACCCCAGCCTTTGACTTGAAGTCTGATTTACAAGCCAGTGGAGCTGCGTTCACAAAACAATCTCCATTCGAATTCTCGAGTTCAAGTACACCCCATAGGTTTGGGAATCAGAGTTCTCCAGCTCCACTATGTAGACCAGTCGGGTTGTAAGTACACCAGATGTTCGTATTCCGGCCTTTTTTATTTTTGTAAGAACCACCACACCTGCTCGCTGCATGAAGCTGTTGGATAAAATTTACCTAGCAGTGGGTATGTGCTTTTAAATAAGAGAAATAATAGTGTGATGTGTGATTCACTTTGTTGTGCTTCACGATAAGTGTCTGCGAATAGGAACCAATTAATTAATTCCTGTTATTACTCGTGTGTTATTTCGTCGACTTCGCCCGACTTCCTCCTTCTCCATTTTTCCCATCTCTGTCTCTCTCTCTCTCTCTCTCCGTTGTATATTTCCATACACATTTTCTAAATTGAAATCTATTTATATGGGATTAATTGAAATTCTTCCCCCTCTCACCCCCTCCCCTTTTATCTTGCATAATTATAGATTGATTTCGATCGAACTAAACACCTATCACCAAGCTCAATTCAAGCAAGACATTTAAAACGAAGACAATTATTCATTATTGCTGAACGTCGACGTGCTGAAGCAAGAAGTCTAGCTGAAGCAGAACAGGAACGTTTACGTCTTTTAGAAGATTCAGAGCGTAAAGCTGCAGAACGACGTCAAGCGGAAGCATTAGCTGCTGAAGCGGAACGTGCAGCTAAACGTGCTGCACGTGAAGAAAGTAAACGACAAATTGTAAGTATTATTCTTAGATATACGTATATTTTGTTAATTCAATTTGGGTTTTATTTGTAATTCTTTTTTCTTGCTTTATAAAAATGCTTTAACTATTTTTTGGGATTATTATTCCCATAGACTCCGAGCGGAACATAGGGTCTCATCTTGTTCTTTGGATTCTTTTTCAGTTGGCAGCACGATTTTACATAAGCTTACATATGCTTCTCACACTCTCTCTCCTCATTGTCACCCTCGACCCCCACCGAAACTGGTCTGTGTTTGTCTGTCGCATAATGTGTCATTCAACGATCTCCTCAGCGTCTCTGTCTGTCTGGAATCAACATAGAACTTGGCACCGAAGTGCAGCACTTCGAGTTGCCACGTTCCAAATAGCACACAGAGGTAGACAAGAAGATGAGTGAAGAGAATCAATAGAGTTTGACAAGTATAAGAGTGAAACAGAATGGGTAATGGTAGAAAGGAATATGAAAGATTACAGAGACTGAATACATCTGCGCTGGCCATTGACAACGATTTTGAGCCATGTCACCTATTGTCTCCAGCCATTGATTCCTAGAGTCCCGAGGGCCCCAACCCGGAAGTCTGCATCTCCCTACCTGACTCAGTTTAACTGTCAAGGATTTCATGGATTGATGAGGCCATGTTTTTGTTTGGCCACCACTGGCTCTTTTCCAACCTGAACCTATATCAGCTAGCAATGCCCGTCGGGGGAGGCGGTGGTTAGGCATGCGCAGCACGTGACCTAGCCATCTTAGTCTATGTAACTTTATAGCCTCGTCGATTGATTTTCCCTCTTTGCCCAACACTCTACGCCTAACGTCAACATTACTTACCTTATTAAACCACCTAACGTGAGACAGAGATCGCAGACATCTATGATCGAAAGCAGTCAACCTTTTCATGTCTTCAACGCGTATTGGCCATGTTTCAGAGCCATAGAGAAGGACGGAGCGAACTGATGAGCAGTACACACGTCCCTTGGTTGATAACCGGATGTCACGCCTACGCCAGAGATGGTGTAAGTCAGCGAAAGCAGCTCGAGCTTTTCGGATCCGTGCTGAGATTTCATCGCCAATCAGTCCGTTGGTGCTAATACAACTTCCCAAATAGGTGAAGTGGTCAACATGTTCTATCACTTCACTCCCTATCACTAAGTTAGGAGTTGACGTAGTCCAGTCCTGTAGCAGCATCTTACATTTTGCAGGGGCGAATCGCATGCCAAACATACGAAGATTGCTGCTCAAGGTGTTCAGAAGACTCTGCATTTTGTCAGCATCCTCCCCTAACAGGACTATGTCATCTGCATATTCTAAGTCCATAAGACTATTCCCTGGTAACAAGTCGATTCCTAAGTCGTTACGTTCAGTTAAGGATACTTCCATTAGCATATCTATGATGAAGTTAAACAGAAATGGGGAAAGTGGACATCCCTGTCGGACACCACTGGTTGTTACCAATTCAGATGACAATTCCCCATAAGCCCTTACACGACTACGTGAGTTTGAATAGAGTGCCTTGATTAGTGCAATGTACTTTCTTGGCACTCCCTTCACAGTCAGACATTGCCATAGTACCTTTCGATCCACGGAGTCGAAGGCCGCCTTCAAGTCAAGAAATATGACAATTGTTGGACGCCGAAAAGTGTGTCTATGTTCTAGAATCTGTCGAAGAGTGAAGATATGATCTATGCACCCTCTACCTGGTCTAAAGCCTGCTTGATTTTCCCTTGTCTGTTCCTCCCGAGTTCTGCTTAGTCTATGCATGATTACTGAGCCTAGGATTTTAGAGACTATGTTCGTTAGGCTGATCCCCCTATGATTATCACACGAGGACTTGTTTCTAAAGTTATATTTGTAAAATCTCAGGGAAATTGAAATGATTAATTCCAACGTTTCGTTCGGCAATCTGGTCCGGACTTGTTTCCCTTCTTGGATTTCCCTTCACACGTATTGTCTGTAGCCTGTTGGAAGTGCTTTCTGTAACGCGTGCGCCGAGTCTCTGAATCACACAAAAATACTCCCTTTACATTATTATTTATTTTATTTAAACGCAAGAAAACTTTTTACAATATGGCACCAATAAAGATGCGCTACACACAATAGTAATGAAACAGCATAAATCAAAAGTTAAAAAATATATAAGTAGAGAACGGATAAAGAACTTCATCTGGAAGAAAAATAGTCATGCTTAACAAGTTCAAACAGTATTCGTTAACTATCATCAGGAAGGGAAGAAAGAGGGAAATTGCAACACGTTCGCCATTGATTACGATTCTTGGCCATATCCGATAACATTTGGAGCCATCGATTCGAGCTATCTCACGGACCAAGAAGTCGTGACGCACCAAACCATGCTAATCTAGCAATAACATCCTTCATCCCACGACGCGACGTCACGGACTGACCACCCCTCCGCCTTTTCCATCCTGTCCCAGGGCTAGCGAACAGAGACCTGTACGAAAGCCTCTGGGATGACATTCGGAGCACATGTCCAAGCCACCGGAGTCGGTGTTTCCAGATGACAACGACACTCAATGAATGGTGATCTCCACTGTGTTCAATAAACACACGCCGCCGAACCTCAGAATTACTCACTCGATGATGCCATCGAACGCAAGCAATCCTGTGGAGACAGTGATGATCGAACACGCAGAGTCGCCGTACATCCTCAGCCTACTCGGAGAGGCCAGCTCTCACAGGCGTAGAGCAAGACAGCCCGCACCGAAGCATTGTACACCCGACCTTTGACAGCCAAGCTAACGGCGCCATAGGTGGCTAAAGTTGATGTATGCCACCCTAGCCTTCATTATACGGTTGGAAATCTCATCCGTCACCCCTCCGCCAGCACTCACACGACTACCCAGATACACAAATTTATCAACAACTTCAAGCAGTTTACCCACAAGAGTGAGTGTAGGTACAGGCTCCTGCCAATCTTGTAACAGTACTTTGCACTTAGACGGTGCAAAGTACTTACAGATACTGACTTTACTGTTGAAAGTTTAAATTTTTTTTGCTTTTCCTGGATGCAGTAGATTTCCACATTGATGGTTTCAGAGTAATTATTGTCTTTCTCGCTGTTTTGATCCTGCCTTTGTTGGAATCAGGTTATCCTTCCTAGATAAGTGAATAAGGTGTACTTCGAATATCTCTGGTTAAATGACGTTTGATCCTTCTTGTTGTTGTTGTTGTTGATGATGATGATGGTGGTGGGCTGCTTAGCTATCTTTATTATCACCTCTGTCTTCTTTGTATTCACATGAAGTTATCTCTTTGTTGACTCTTCTATCAGCTTGTCGGTTTCCTCACAATAGGTCTTCGAGTTTGTGTGACATTAAATATCAACCATCCTTAAAGTTCAGATCTTCTAGTGTCTTCTTATCTGTTCAACATATCCATGTCTTCTCTTCCCCTATAGTCACACCACCCTCTTCATTCACAACTCTCCCCTTGTATCTCATCAGACAGGACCAGGAGCCTGTATAGAAAACTATATTCTCGCACTACCAAGTACGAAAACTCAACTAAAAAGTGGGAATGTTGGGCGTGGGTTTAGCAACTCCAACCCGTAAAAATAAACCCACCAGTACCAAAACTTCAGTGCTGTTGCCTGAAGCTGTATATGTTTCACTGGGAAAGTAAAGGAATAAAATAGTAATAATACCTTCAGGTTACAAGGCAAACTCATAGATCATTCAGCCTTTCAGCCGCTAGGACCCAACTCAATGACCAGCCCATCAAGTGTGTAACCTCTGCCAATTCGTGATTTTAACACTTTTACCAGCCAATGTCATCGGCGAATATTTTTTCCTCACGCCCAATTCATGAGTGAATCGTATGAATTGGTAGAAGTTGGAATTCATTGGCTATTGAACCCGGTTCCAGCCTACCTTGTAACCAGAAGGCACTATGTTCGAACCCCGGTAGGATACGTACGGTGCTGAATAGTTTCCAACTACGACGAAACAGTTGTCCAGTATTCCATGGTTTCCCGACGGTTCTCTAACTGATATCAATCCGTGATCAGACTTGATACTTTATTAGTAGTAGTTTGGTTTTGTAGTAATTCTTTCCAAATAAGTCTTCATTCACTTGTTTTTTTTTCTCTCATTCTTAGCATTCTTAGTGGAATGTAGCGTTTCAAGCTTCAAGCTTTGAAGTTTCAATAGCGCTTACTTTGTTCATATGGGATCAGGTTGCTAGTCTCACACTCAACCTTCCTTCTTTTTCGGGCTTACTACCCCGGCTAGGCGATGCTTAGGAGAGTGCTCTGGCCAGAAATCCAGCCTTGACCCGAACCACCGGTGCATGTTTCGTTCGCTTAAGTTATTTTATAGTTCGCTTTGGTTTATTTTATTAAAATCGAACCAGATATCATACCAAAAATCCCAATGCGATTAATCTGAATAGAAATCCATCACTATCGTCATCCATTGCTAAACACTCATTCATGTCAGGTCACAAAATCAATCAATATTAATGACTGTTTCACAATTATTTCATCACACAACTCTAATTCAAAGTTATTGAAGGTGATCGAAGCACTTTGGGGGGGGGGATTAATCACATACAGCCTAAACTGTGTGTACAAAAACAAAACAATAGACTTCAATTTTCGCCTACCATCTACAACATGACCCATCTAAATATGATTGGTCATTAGTATGTACTTTTGTTTTGTTTTTTATATAACTGAGTAATTGTCATGCTCTTTATTTTATTATTGTTAACCATGTTAGTTGTAAAGCGGTTATAAAGAAACTACGAAATAAGGATATCATCTCGCGGTGAAATTTGTCTTCTTAATGTATTATTCAAACATATATATATAATGCATTATTGTAATTGTTTAAATTTCGCGCCAAAAATTGAACGTTGAATCATTGAATGTCTTTTTGTTTTCTAATTCTACTGGTGAATCATAATGTTAAAAAATAATAATAAAACAATTTATCAATAAAGGCAATAGGTCGGTGTAAACGAATTAAAGAAGATTTATTGAAGAAGAAAATATCTTTGGAAGAATATCGTCGAATTGTAGCTGTTCGTAAAGTGGAAGGTATACGATTGATGACATTTTTGTTGGCTAAAATACAAGTAAGTTATTCATATATTTATTTCTATCTTTATTGGAACCCTATTTTGTGCATACCTTATATTATTATTATTATTATTAATATTATTATTATCCTACGATGATTTAGTAAAATGTATAGGCACCAAAAAAACATTGTTCACACTTAATATAATACCATTTTCACCCAGTGGCGGCCTGCTCAAAATTTGGGCTACCAAAAACTTCCATCACTCTATTGCGTATGTTTCCTCTCGTTCAGTTTGTTTTAATCGATTGACATATGACCTCTAATGGTGTTATTTACTCTTGGCTGTGTATTTAAAATATTTACAAGCTTCTGATTCGCAAGTTCCTACTGAACTTGAGGAATAGCCTGATTGTGGGTGGCAAAGTGTTCCAATACAACATGAGATAACTGTTCTTCATATTATGTCCTTGAGTCTCAAAATGTACTTCTGAACATCTTACAGTTGGCTTTCAACTAGATCGACATCGTGAATGGATTTCTTGAAGAAGACAAAGCAGATATATCATATTGGGATTGGTTTGTGTTTCAGCTCGGAGAGTAAATGTGTCACAGGATATACTGTCATATAATATTTTACTTGAAGATATTTTACGAAAAGAAAATGCATACAAAAAACTCCTGAAAATTCTCTACATTTCAAAAATACTGTCCAGAATAAAGATATTATCATTACTATAAAAAAACCTAATAAAGAAAGGGTTACAGCATTTATAGAAGTGTTCACGACTTCATGTTACTTTCAGGAAGAGAACAAAGACATAAAATACAGTATGTTGACTATTGCTTACAATTTTTGAATCGAATGACATCTTGGAACCTCACCATACAATCAGAATGTATTCATAGGACTTAAGTCAACATAATTGTGCGTCGGTAGTACAGCGGTTAGGACGCTCGCCGACCATGCACGTGGTTTGGGGTTTGATCCGCGGCCGACGAACTCCTTTACCTCGCTGAGCCAGAAATAATCTTGGTAAAGAGGAAAGGTTGGGTATGAGACTGGCTAGCAACCCCATCCTGTAAAACTTAACACTGCTACAGAAACTTCAAGCCTCCAGCTTGGATCCCTATGTTCCACTGGGGCACGTGAAGGAAAAAAAGGCAACATAATTATCCTTCTACCTGCAATGCTGCACTATGAGCAGATCTCCCCTCTCTTCGCTTTATTTATCTTGTTCCACGGGTAACAAACAATGGTTGGCATAAAAACCACTCAGATAACATTCTTAGTAGAAGTTCAATTCATCAACTGTCTGTCTGTTTTCGACATAGAACTTTCCACCGATGTGCACCAATTCAAGTCACCACACTCCCTTCAATGTAGCACAGAAAGCAAGAGAAGAAAGTAGAAGAAATGCATAATTCAGACAGTAAACAAAGATAGAAAAGATTTGTAACCCAATCAATAGAAAACGGTCAATACATATGTGAAGATGGTTGGTCACCAGGAGACGCAATTGTATCATCATTCATGGAGATTTTTAAATCATTTAACTTTATGCTAAATACTGCGCTGAAGATGCCGTCCAGAAAGACGACGAAAGCTCCGCAACTTAACTAACCAGCTCAGAGAACACTATTAATTGCAAAAGTAAACAAAGGTGTGAGACAAAGGAATAATAATAAAGAAGAACCATATAGTTTCATTGGAAATCAAAAGTCACAGGGAGTGGATGCATCTGCGCCAGTCATCGAGAACGATTTTAAACCATATCACCAATTGTTTCCAACCCGTCATTGGTTTTTACCGTCCCTAGGACTCCATCCAGCCAGTCAGGAAGTCTACACCTTCCTACGTGGATGGCTTAAACTAACTGTTGTGGATTTAGAAAACAGAAAGATTGAGCGAAGAAATATTTACTTTTCAATTAGATCCTTATCTCTGGCTCTACTCTAATATATATAGCATTTCAATTACAATACAACAGTTTGCCAATCAAGTGGCGATAAGTTTGTTAACAATAATTAAACAGTGTCAATGGGTTAATAGTTAACGTAGAAAATTAATACAGTTTTAAAAGGTGGAAATGGATAGAATAAATTAATTTTACAAGAATAACACGTAAATTAAAGATAAAGTGGTCAAAATAAATAATTTAGACAATTATAATTTTTATAGGTTAAGGGGGAGGGGGGTGACGCAGTCCTGTTTATCCATTCTTGTGACGATGGCCACGGTAGGGAAAGTGACTGTACAAATTTTTTTCTGTACACATAGGCTTGGCTTCTTCAGGTGAATTCCGATTGCTTCAGCCGTCTGTAGAAGACGAACTCGCAGAGCAAAATTAAGATAAGTCGGAATGTGATAAATAATTTTAAATGCAGTATTCACATCAATCTTATGCTCAGTATCAACGAGGTGGGCTAAAATAGAGCTACGAATAGATCTTGTTTATCGCTTACTTAACCACATTGGATGATGTTCGGAAATACAACGATAAACTTGCCTAGTTGTACGCCCCCGATGAAGCTGGCTCCGCAGCTGCAGTCAAACTGGTAGATACACATAGACTGGTGAAGCCATGTTTTCGTTTGATCACCGGTCACTCTTTTCCAGCCTAACCCTATTTCAGTCAGTTTTCCGTAAATAGATCACTTGATACATGCCGTTATCATATATATATATATATTACTTACTTTTTTACTTTACTTCGGCTATCTCCTACGGGAGGATGAGCCGGCTTCATGAACCATGAAGATTCATGGGAATTGGGTACGAGTGATGTCCCCAGCATCGCTCAGCCTTTGTTTGAGAGTGCAGCTCTAGCCTTTACACAACCAAGTGTGACCTACAAGGCAGTAGGAGTGGAGTAGGGAGTCCACTATCCATTGGCAGCCGGTGACCGGAGTCCGGTTCATTCGCCTTTTTGAATGGAGCCAGTCATCCAGGGCATCCAATAAGCCCTTTGTCCATACGTCTCCCGGTGAGCTTCATACGCCAGTCGTTGGATGTTTGGAATCAGGGTTTAGCCATCTCCCCTAGACTGTCATCCAATGGACAGTCAACCCGGTGAAGAGCGCCGGGCATCCACTTTTGCCCTCTCACTTTGGTGAAAAACACCTCCGCCACGTGAAGGTAGTGAGTAGGACTTCCTCAGGAGAGGCCATGTAAGACGCCCGGTCATATGGGAGCATTTCAAGAGGTGCATGGAGGGGTGGCCAACCCGCAGCGCAAGACACCCACCCCCGACCATCCTGAGGCTTTGGAGGCATATATATATATATATATATATATATATATATATATATATATATATATATATATATATATATATATATATATATATAATAATACAATTCAAAATGATATTTTCTCTTCGCTTTCTTTAATCTCATACAATTTTGTTTTTTCCGCCTCTCCTTCCCCCCGTTCTTTATCTTTTTTATTCTACACGACTTTCTTTTAGGCTCGTCATGATTTAATAGTGGCTACAAGACGTGTTGCTCGTTTGTCTAAGGTGGAAAAGGCTGCTGTAGACGCTGAAGCCAGTGTAAATATTGCCTTAAGTCAAGCCTCTCAAACTTTTACAGCTAATACTAAATCAAATAATAATAAGCCTGATGATGTTGATCCGGGCGATGATGCGGATGACTATGAAATGAAAAATTGTGAGAAAGAAGAAGAAGATTCAGATAAAAAGTGTTCACAATCCGGTCTACCATCAGTCTCTTCATCATCTCCTGAATCCTCTGAGGAACAAGAGGTACGATTTCAACAATTGTTGGCTAAACGTGAAGAATTTCTACGGAATAATTTATTACGCGTAAGTTGTTTTTTTTTTGCTGATGAATACATTGTATTTCACTCATATTGGAAACAGAGTCTAGGGGTGGTTAATGCTTTTTAAATTTTAACACTTAAGATAATACGCGTAGTAATCAGTTTTTATTTTACTTCCCGTTCCCAGTGGAACATAGGATGGCTTCAAGCTAGTGGCTTGAAGTTTCTGTAGCAGTGTTTAATTTTACAAGATGGGGTTGCTAGCCTCATGCCCAACCTTTCCTCTTTACCAGGATTATTTCTGGCTTAGCGAGGCAAAAGGAGTGCGTTGGTGGCCGGGGATCGAACCGCGGACTATGCGCATGGTCTGCAAGCTCTCCTGTTTTTGTCTAAAAAATGATTAGTTCCATTGTTTAACCACCTTCAATTGCATCCATCAGTTCCCTCGCTCTCGTGGAGTAAGGTACATTGATTCTAGCCAGAGATACGACAGTACATTCCAACATGGTTTTAAAAAGACTGTGGCAAGGGTGTGAGAAGCTGTATTCTACAACATTTGATAGATCCTGACAAAGTTCCTAAAATCAGTAATCGAATTTTTGATAACTTGTCGTGTTTTCTATGTTCTAAACTTGTAAAGACAGCGAAGGCCTCGGCTATTCATGAATTTAAGTCGAACCTTTTTGTACCGAAGAAGTATGTCCAGTCACACCACAATCACTTCTTTCTTTACATATTAGACTGGAAGTCTATATACTATAGTATCAGCTCAAACTACTATCAAATTGGTGTTGATTTCACTTTACTGACGGTTTAATCCAACACTTATGGATGAATGGCATGCAATCGATCCTCCTTCTACCTTCTGACGCATTCGAATCATCATCAGCATCATGATTGCATCAACCGCTCAATCAAGTCATCTCATACTGGTTCTGATGGTATTAAGGTGAAAACAGAAGTTGAACAGTAAAATTTAGAGCGAATTCACTGCAAGGTTAGCTTTATATTCATGAAAAATTCCCATTCGACCATTAATAGACAGAAGACCAGTTGTTCAGCGAAGAGTCTCTTTTCCACATCGAATTCATTTTCATAGCTGTAAAATCGAAAATATATATATATATATATGGTTTTCTTGTATGTGTGTGTACATTAAATTTGTCGAACGAAAATACAGTTAGTAAGTTCAGGTAGATTGGATGTTGATAGAAGAGGATAATAACAAAAGTGATGAATTGTCACAAACGATTGTTAAATAAGATTTACGTGATGGCTTGAATAGTTTGATGAAAGAGTTGTGCTCAGGGTGTGTGTACATGGAAACAAAATAATATATGGAATTATGCAAGGGTTTTAAGTAGTTAGAAAAATAAGCATACAAACAAAAGTTAAGTCAAATCAACGGAGTTGTTACCATGAGAGTAGAAGTGGTTGAATAATTTTCTTTTGTATGCATAGTTCTGGTTCTTCTAACTGAAAGGTTAGGAATTCTGCAAATGCAAAGAAAATGGAAACGTATTGTCTTTGGAAGGCTGCTCTTCACTTTGTAGATTGCTTTCAAGGAGGAGGCGTTTGATGTGACGAAATGACCAGTGTTGACGAGACGTTCGATTATTGTACTCCTTATACGGCCACTACTTCCTTTTTGCAGCCACGTTGGATAGTGTTCTTTGACCCTTTTTTGTTTGCTTGATTCGATTTAACTCTTGTTTGTATGCTTATTTTTCTAACTACTTAAAACCCTTGCATAATTCCATATATTATTTTGTTTCCATGTACACACACACCCTGAGCACAACTCTTTCATCAAACTATTCAAGCCATCACGTAAATCTTATTTAACAATCGTTTGTGACAATTCATCACTTTTGTTATTATCCTCTTCTATCAACATCCAATCTACCTGAACTTACTAATTGTATTTTCGTTCGACAAATTTAATGTACACACACATACAAGAAAACCATATATATATATATTTTCGATTTTACAGCTATGAAAACGAATTCGATGCGGAAAAGAGGCTCTTCGCTGAACAACTACTGGTCTTCTCGTTCTCTGTTAATGTTCGAATGGGTATTTTTCAAGAATCTAGCATGGTTAATACTTTTTAAATCTTAGCACTTAAGATAATATGCGCAGTACTAAGTAAAGAGGGGGGAAAAGCCAGTCGATGGCGTTGCAACGAAGCTCTATAGATTAACCCCTTTAGCGTACCTGAAATACAAGGAGGATTAATATTGTGTGACCATAGAGCTCAGAGGACAACCAACCAACCACCTTAGGCCTGTCACGGCCTGTTTGTATTGGTTTTTAAGGATGTGTCCACATGAAGAGATCTTACCACTGGCTAAGAATTGCTGGAAGGCAAGTCGCGAAATATACAGTTTTCTGGGTCGGTCTTTTCTAACCACCCTCCCTCCCATCTTTCCCAGAGAGATACGATGCAGCAGAGTTGGTCTTCTCTTTGGGAAACACTTTATTGTTGTTACATCCCCCTATTCGCCAGCAGTATGACACCACCACCACCAATATTAGTATAAACAACTTATTTTATTTTTATTTTTGATTACAGCTTGATTCCACACTGTATTTTCAGTACAAGTATGGAATTTTCAGCGTGGATATCGGTAGCCCAAAATTCGCAGGCCGACCATAGATATCAGGTGTGCTTCGTCGGCGTGGGCTCGAACCCCGGACCATGTGCATAGTCGACGAGAGTCCTAACCACTGTGTCAACTTACACTATCACTGTAACTGTTTTCAGTCTAACCGCTATGCATAGGATCTTTCTGGCATGTTAGCACCTGCAGGGCATTAGTTCCAGCCACTGTGAATCGTTGTTGGGTCATTTCGATGTGCTAGTCTGATCATCATGTCATGGTAAGCATCTGTAGGTTGGAGCCTCTATATTGATTGAAACCTATAGAGTGTATTTTACACATATACCATGCTATATCCCCCCCCACACACTGATGAAAGATTTACAAAGTGTTATGCCGTGGTCATATAAAAATAATGACACTAATTAATGAAGTGATTGACAGTCGGTTGGAGCCACGTAAAGAAATGTAAATGACATGGCACAGATATATTAACTCCTAACTTAGTGATAGGGAGTGAAGTGATAGAACATGTTGACCACTTCACCTATTTGGGAAGTTGTATTAGCACCAACGGACTGATTGGCGATGAAATCTCAGCACGGATCCGAAAAGCTCGAGCTGCTTTCGCTGACTTACACCATCTCTGGCGTAGGCGTGACATCCGGTTATCAACCAAGGGACGTGTGTACTGCTCAGCAGTTCGCTCCGTCCTTCTCTAAGGCTCTGAAACATGGCCAATACGCGTTGAAGACATGAAAAGGTTGACTGCTTTCGATCATAGATGTCTGCGATCTCTGTCTCACGTTAGGTGGTTTAATAAGGTAAGTAATGTTGACGTTAGGCGTAGAGTGTTGGGCAAAGAGGGAAAATCAATCGACGAGGCTATAAAGTTACATAGATTGAGATGGCTAGGTCACGTGCTGCGCATGCCCAACCATCGCCTCCCCCGACGGGCATTACTAGCTGATATAGGTGCAGGTTGGAAAAGAGCTAGTGGTGGCCAAACACAAACATGGCCTCATCAATCCATGAAATCCTTGACAGTTAAACTGAGTCAGGTAGGGAGGGAGATGCAGACTCCCGGGTTGGGGCCCTCGGGACTCTAGGAATCAATGGCTGGAGACAATAGGTGACATGGCTCAAAATCGTTGTCAATGGCCAGCGCAGATGTATTCAGTCTCTGTAATCTTTCATATTCCTTTCTACCAATACCCATTCTGTTTCACTCTTATACTTGTCAAACTCTATTCATTCTCTCCCTTCATCGTCTTGTCTACCTCTGTGTGCTATTTGGAAGGTGGCAACTCGAACTGGTGCACTTCGGTGCCAAGTTCTATGTTGAATACAGACAGAGACAGACAGATATTAACTCTTTATCATCATTTGGACTCATTAATTGACTCAGAATTTGATCATGGATTGATACCGCTCAGAGAACCATTGAAAACCACACGGTTACTGCATAGGTGTTTTGTCCTGATTCGGGATTCATCGACAGTACGTACCCACACACCAGGGTTTGAACCCACGACAAGCTTGTATACCATTCAGCCACTGGGACTCGACCCGATTCAATGGCCAACCAACCCATGAATTCTAACTTTCACCAATTCGTGATTTATCGTGACCTCAACCATTGTCGTCGGTGGGACATCCATCCATTCATCCTCACACACGTGACATCTGGATAGACCTCACTGGTCAGTCAGTTTAAGATTAACCAATATCCCGACCAGTGGTTAGGACTCTCGCCGACCGTGCACATGGTCCGGGGTTCAAGCCTCCGCCGACGCACACCTGATATCTGTGGTCGGCCTGCAAAATTTGGGCTACCGATATATCCATGCTGAAAATTCCATACTTGTACTGAAAATACAGTGTGGAATCAAGCTGTAAATAAAAAAAATAAATAAAAATAAAGATGCTGTTAAATTTCCTTTGTGGAATTTGAGACGCAAATCATTATATATATATTTCTAAAAGTTGTTTTACACTGTTTGTTTTGATATATTTTCCAGAAACGTGCTGAAGTATTAAGATCACAAATTTATCAACGATCCATACTGTCTAATTCCAATCCCCGTAATCATTAAATCCTACTCTTCGCATTCGCTCTATCATCATTGAATCGAAAAACTGTATATGATAAAATTTAAAAGAAATAAAAGAAAAAAAATCCCCACCATCACCACCAATAATAATGATAAACACACGTTTCTTCAGTGTACTGCTTCGCACATACATGCATATATATATTTATATATCCTTTCTCAAGAAAAGGCGAAAAAAAAGAAGAAAAACCATTTCTCCTATTGTTGATATCGTTAAAAAACAACAACAACAACACAGAAATGTTGGTTGTTATTCTGTACATTTCATTAAAAGGCAAGGGAATAAGGAGAGGCAGAGAGAGAGAGAGAGGGAAACAACAAGCAAGCAAACAGACAGTTTCACTTTAATTGTTTGTGTTTTTTCATTGAATTCTTGAATTGTGTTTTTTTTTGTAATATGGTTTTCATTATTATTAACAATAACAATTCGGTTCATTATTGTATTGTATGTGTGTTTGTACATATGTATATGCCTGTTGGTCTGTTTGTATGTGCGTGCGTGCGTGTGTCCGTGTGTATGTGTGGGTTGGTGGGTGGGGTGATTTTGATTAGTGTGAATTTGTAATACCGAGATCAAAATGGATTTCACAATTGTTATACAAAAATACTCGATATATTATCATCTTTTTTCTTTAATTTGATATTGAGAGTAATGTGATTGATGTGGTATTCGCACATGGTGGTGGTTGGTTCTCTAGTCATTGTATCTTAAATTGTCATATTACACATTATTGATAACAATAATAATAATAATATCATATTGGCCCTCACTGGTCACGACTTCTCACTAGAACTCAGGAAACTTCAACCTGTAGCAAGTCACTAGCGAGCATCAGATTAATTTTCTATCGTTTGGTTTGTAAGGGTTTGTTATGTTTTTACGAGTTGATCACGGATTGATATCAGTTAGAGAAGCGTTGAAAACCACCAGGGAGTACTGGACAGCTGCTGTTTCATCCTAGTTCGGGAATCATCGGCAGTACGCACCCACCAACGATAATGGTAGGGGTCGCGCTAAAATCACGAATTGGTAGAAGTTAGAATTCATGAACCATTCAATCGGGTCCCAGTGCCTGAATGGTATACGATCTTGCCTTGTAACCCGAAGGTCCTGGGTTCGAATCCCAGTGGATGCGTACTGCCGATGATTCGCAAACTAGGACGAAACAGCAGCTGTCCAGTACTCCCTGGTGGTTTTCAATGCTTCTCTAACTGATATCAATCCGTGATCAACTCGTAAAAAACAAAAATAACCCTTACAAACCAAACTATAGAAAATAATAATAATATGTGGTGTGATGTGGACTTCGACTTCTTTTTCTCGTTGTTGTTGTTGTTATTGTTGGTTACAATGACGTTTTTGTATTGATCATGTGTGTGTGTGTGCCTGTGTGCGTACTGCTCACCACCTAATCTGTAAGATTAGAAAAACAAAAAATTGTATCTGCAATTATTATTTGTTTAATTGAATTTTTGATTTTCCCGTCGATTGATTGACATGTCGGCTTCTTGTGCAGATGTTTCAACGATGTCTGGGTATTTAATTGGTGGATGGTGACTAGCAGTGGAATCCAGGATAAGGCGTATTTAGTCCTATTTGGGACTCGTGTCATCTGGATGTACCTGCATTTCTCACTGAGTGATGGTGTTCTCCCACCGAGGCTCGAACCTAGCGCCCATAGTTTCAAACATCAGCCAAAGCGTTATCCACTAGACCACTTGGCCACGAGAGCCACCTCTTTGGTCCAATCAATCGACGGGAAAACCACAAATTCAATAAAATTAATATGACTCGTTGCACAAGAGGTGGCTCTCGTGGCCCAATTGGTCTAGTGGATAACGCTTTGACGTTTGAAAATATGGGTACCGGGTTCGAACCTCGGTGGGAACATTATCACTCATTGAGAAATGCAGGTACATCCAGCTGATCACGAGTCCCAAATAGGACTAAATGCGAGTTGTCCTGGATTCCACTGCTAGTCACCATCCACTAATTAAATTATTATTTGTGTTCTCTAAGCTGGTTGGTTGATGGTTAAATTGCTAAGCTTTCGTCGTCCTTCTGGACAACATCTCTCGTTTTCAGCTCAAGTTTTTGGCATAAAGCGAACTGATTTAAGCTCTCCATGAATGATGATAGGATTGCGTCTTCTGGTAACCATTCTTCATGACTGCTTGTAGTTGATTTACATCTGTATTGATCTTTTATTTTCTTTATTGATTTGGATTTTAAACTTTCACGTCACATGTGATTTACTTTTTTTATTAGTTGGTAGATCTGGTCTATAATTAAAATGTTTGTCAATGGCCTATTCGCTATATTGAGTAATAGGCTTCTAGAAATTTTCTGGCTCCGTAATTAAACCAACTAGGTCAGAGCACACAATAACTAATTGCAACTCATCCATCCACCTAAGCTACAAGTATATTCTATATTATTTCAAAAATTGTTATTGATTGATTAGTGGATTATAGTGCACGAGGATGGTCGGTCTCCCCTTCTCGCTCTCTGTTGACACTTCAGCTCCTCTTAGTACAGACACTTCGGTGACGCCTTGGTGTGTTAGAAATCAGTAGCGTCCAGGAGAGATTGTCCGTTGGATATCTTCTCATCTTAAAAAATGGATACTGGGTTCGAGTCCCACAAAAAGGAACACCATTATCCAGTTGATAAGTCGGAAATAAAGACATGACGCACGGCTTAGAAGCACCTTTTTAGATACTGTCAATCAAGAGTGTAATATCATGAAATTCTATTTGTTGGGTATTTAAAGTTCTAAGCTCAATAATCATGCGTAGACTAAGTGGTGCTCGGGAGGAACAAACACGAGAGAACCAGGTAGGCTTTAGACCAGGAGTAGGATGTATTGATCATATCTTCACCCTTCGACAGATTCTGGAACAGAACATAGGCATACTTAACGACGTCCGACAATCGTTATGTTTCTTGACCTAAAGGCGGCATTTGTTCTGTCGACCGAGAGGTACTATAGCGATGTTTGGCTGTGAAGGGAATCCCGAAAAGATACATTGCACTGACCAAGGCACTCTACTTTGAACTCATGCAGTCAGCCAGGTGAGAGCCTACAGAGAGTTGTCGTCTGACAACTGTGATGACAACCGTTAGGGATACCCTGCCCAATGTCGTCATTTCTACTTAGTTTCATCATAGATGTACTTATGGACGAAAACCTAACTCACTTCACAGACTCAGGGCTTGACTTGTTACCAGGGTATAATAGTCTCGTTGACTTAGAATATGCATATGATATAGTCCTTCTAGGTGAAGACGCTGACCAAATGCAGAGGCTTCTGAACACCTTGAGCTGCAATCTGCGAATGTTTGGTATGCGATTCACTCCTGTTAGATGTAAGACGATGATGCTATAGGACCGGACTACATTAACTCCTTGGTTAATGATAGGGAGTGAAGTGGCCGGTGGAGCGTGTTGATCACTTCACTTATTTGGGAAGTTTCATCAGCCATTTCCAGCGGGTTGATCACCAATGAAATCTCAGCACAGATACAGGAGGCTTATTTAGCACATGCCAAATTACTCCATCTCTTGCCTAGTAGACGTCATATCCGGCTAGCTGACTGTCGATCAAATGGCGTGTGTACTGCTCAGCGCAGCAGATGGCTCTGTCCTCCTTTATGGCTGGCTGTCAGCGAGACATGACTATTGAGAATGGAGGACATGAAAAGCCTGGCTGGTTGTATTTGATACAAATATATGCGTTAGGTGGTATAATATGGTGGTTAATATTGCGATTAGGTGTAGAGTCGTGGGGAAGGAGGACAAGTCAATCAATGAAGTTATACAGATTAAGAATGTTAGGATGTGCACTACACGTATACCAAATCATTGTCTCACTCCACACGTACCGTTAACTGATATATAATTAGGTTGTAAAAGAGTTAACAGTTTTCTGTTACCCTTGTTCAGTGGTATAATAAGATGAGCAATATTGATGTAAGGCTTCGGTCGAGTGATAGGAAAGCAGGGAGGGGAAATCAATCAATCGACAAGGTTGTGAACTTACACCAACTGATATGGTTAGGACGTATCTTAGGCATGTGCGTCTAGTCACTGCCTTCGTCGACCAACGGGCAATGTTAGCTGATACAAGATCAGGTTGGCTTGGGGAAGAGTTAGCTTGTGCTGGGTGGTCAAACCAAAACAAGCATGACTTCAGTCAATGGAATCCACAACACTTAGTTTAATTTAGCCAGCCACGTAGGGAGGTGTTGACTTCCTGACTACCTAGTTGAGGTCCTCGAGTTGGTAAAAAACCACTGAAAACCGAGGACAATTGGTGATATTGCTCAAAATCTTCGTTGTCATGGCTGGCGCAGATGCATACACTCCTTGTGATCCATAGTATCCAATTAACACTCTATTGTTCTTCCACATTACTATTCTTTTTGCCTCATATCTCTGTTTATTCTCTTTTTTGAACCTCCCTTTACTCTCGTTTCTTGCTTTTGTGTGCTACAAGGAGGAAATCTGGCAACTCGAACTGCTGCTTATATCTGTGCAATGTTCTAAGTTGAAAGCTGTCAGTGGAAACCTCCACCTATGGTAATGAATGGATTAATGATAAATTTATTTTGGAGAAAATGATATCCTTGTAAAACTCTAAGGAACAGTTCAGGGGGTTAATAAATTAATATTTTTTGACTGAAAGTTAGGCAGGGGTTGGGTGCACAATCAGTAGTAGTAAGATATAGACAGCATAAGATTGGTTACACTCCATAGTAATGTATTCACAATACAGAGCCCTACATGAGATCAGTTGGTACACCCAAATAACTCAGTGATTATATATATATATATATATATATATATATATATATATATATATATATATATATTATATATATATATATATATATATATATATATATATAATCTAACTGTAACACTAGGCGACAGAAAAGATGATTTAGTGTTCAATCGGAACACAACCAACAAGTTGACAGAAGTGGCGAGCATTGAAGACAGGGCTTCAAGTTAATCATACAGAAGATAGAGGTGATGAAAATACCCGCCTTGTAGTGAAAGCAGGCCGTGAGAAAATATGAGCAAGGCTGATTCAACAACCAATCACAGCAAAGTTAACGTGGCAAAATATGATTCGCAGATAGAGAACTCTATTTGTCGAGGAATCCCGAAACAACCAATCAGAAGCCTGCGTTTGTCTGCCTAACTTCTGATAAACAGCCAATCAGATGACTGCGCTTGTCTACTTGCATAAGCTATAATAATGTATGTGAAATATGTATAAATACGTGTTGTTTTCATAATAAAACGATCTGTTGCCTGGCCCTTGTCTTCTGTTGTTACAGCCTAACCTAGAAACAACAAGAAAAATGAGCATCATTCACCATCACCAACGGGAGAATTTTCAAACGAAGTCACTTATATGAAGAGGCAGCATCATCAATTCAACTAAGACACAAGCTATGGCATTGATAAGGATGTCAAAGTCAGTCAGGATGAATAAAGCAAGACAGGGACCTTCATTCATCTAAAAACAGTGTGAAAAACAACTGAAGTCAGTATATAAGGAAAAAAGATTCAGAAATTTGGCGTGTCGGTGGAAAGCACCCCCCTCCAATAGCTGACAGATTTTCATCAACACCATCTGCCTCTGTTACGTTGATACTTAAGACCAGCCGGAAAGGAAGTACTTTGATTGGATACTAGTCAGTGACTAGTGTTGTGAAGTGTCTAGTCTTTTGTTTGGTGGAGAGTGAATTCTATCGTCAATCAAGTTTTCAAAGTGGCGCCAGCATTCTAGGTGGCTCACCATCATCACGGTGCAC